CATTCTACATTAGTTGCAAACCGATCGCAAGCAGACGCAATTCTTATTGCGACAGCCAATCAGAAGCATCAATGGTGCTATTGACGCTTCTGATTGGTTGTCGCAACAAGAGTTGCAATTTACTTGCAACTAATGTGGAACGATCTTAATGCCCATTTCTACCAACTTTGGTTAATTTAACCGGCTGGTTATTCTGATAGAATTGATCATCTGTCTATTCTGATGGAATAGACTATCTGTCTATTCTGACTAATGAGAAATGCGACTGCTCAATTCCGTTGGAATAATCGGTTAGTTATTCCAATGGAATTGATCAATCACATTTCTCATTAGTCAGACTTGATAGATGCGATTAGTCAATTCCGTTGGAATAACCAACCGGTTAAGTTAACTAAAGTTGGTAGAAATGGACATAAGTCGGTTTAAAGGCTTACCAACCTTGTAACTAACTAAAACTAGTTAGTAAACCTTTGTAACTAAACTAGTTTCCGAAACCGATTTCAGAACGTGTACACAATTTCTCTTTCCCTTTCTCAGTCCGCACTGAGCTTCCCGTCGCGATTTCGCTTGCCGGACGCGCGGCACCTTCAGTTTTCGCGCGCCGTGTTTCGTCTCACTGCAATCTGTGCAAGTTATCGACGATTTCATAGTAGCACATTCAATTGCCGTCCGCGATCGCAGTGGCGGCGCGCACAGCCGGACAGCTAGGTTAGACGATAATTTTCCGAAAAGTGGAAGGGATAATGTTGGTACCAAAGAAAATCTCTATACGATATAATTTAATAATGGTCTGGGGATCAATTATGAATCTTTTCCTCTAACGTGAACTCGTGAAAAGTGAACATTTCTATATGCTTTTACATTATAAAATTTCACTTTTCACAAATTCACACTAGGGGAAAAGATTCATAATCGACCAGCTGTTCTGCACTGCTGAACTAATACAAAAGGTTAAAGTGAGAAAACATATACTTAGATCTGTTCTTTCGCTCTGCGCTGGAACTATACTAGCACTACACTAGCACTGCACTGGAACTGAGGAGTGTAAAGTTACACTGAACAATGTAGAAGTTCGAATAGAGATCGAAAGAACACCTCAGTACAGTTGGCAATATTAGTTGGCGCACTATTTCGTTTCAAATAATGAACTAATTGATTCATCAGATGAAGAGGAGGAAATTGTTTTAATTACGTTATTTACGTTATTTGTTATTTACGTTAGCAGGAAGTTCTCTCTCTCTCTCTCTCTCTTTCTTTCTCTTTCTGGTCGCAGGCCTTAGTCAGGTGGCCTTTCACCGAGTAGAAGACAATATGAGGGAAAGCCTCGGAAAACGCCGAGGAACGTTTCAAAAAAATCAGCGAGTTCAAGCGTTTTTGAACATGTTTTAACGTCACGGCTTAGGTTGGAATTTCAGTAGGAAGCTGTTGCATGTACGTCGCCATATTGCACTACACCGCTGCCCTAGCTCGAGACCTAGGGCAGTGTTCTATTACACTGAGTAATGCTGCACTGAGTTACGCTGCACTGAACAAAAGAACAGCGATGATGACGTCATAGTATACCTCAAGCGTTTGAAAGAACGCTTCAGTATATTACTACGTGTACTACGCTTCAGTGCACTACTTGTATCAGTGCCGCCAGTGCAGAGCGAAAGAACAGACCTTTTGTCTCACTTCAATTTATTGCACCAGTTCAGCAGTGCAGTTACAAAGAACAGGCCTTTAAATTATATAGTGTAGAGATTTTCCTTGGTACCAACATTATCCCCTCCACTTTTCGGGAAATTGTCGCCTAAAGGAACGTCTACATTGCAAGTAAACAGTAAGAAGTAGGAAGTAAGAATAAGAAATTGACCAATCATAGTTAATTATTCTTCTCACATTCGACTGTGGTTGGTCAATTTCTTACTCTTACTTCCTACTTCTTGCTATTTACTTCCAATGTAGACGTCCCTTAAGTCCCGATCTACAATAGGTGTAGTAAGCTTTAAGCCGTAACAAATTAACCAATCACGATTGATTATTCTTCTATAATTCGACTATGATTGGTCAATTTCTTAAAGATTAAAGTTTACTAATCTATTGTAGATCGGGACTTAAGGGACGTCTACATTGGAAGTAAATAGCAAGAAGTAGGAAGTAAGAGTAAGAAATTGACCAATCATAGTCGAATTATAGAAGAATAATCAATCGTGATTGGTTAATTTGTTACGGCTTAAAGCTTACTACCCCGATTGTAGATCGGGACTTAAGGGACGTCTACATTGGAAGTAAATAGCAAGAAGTAGGAAGTAAGAGTAAGAAATTGACCAATCATAGTTAATTATTCTTCTCACATTCGACTGTGGTTGGTCCATTTCTTACTCTTACTTCCTACTTCTTGCTATTTACTTCCAATGTAGACGTCCCTTAAGTCCCGATCTACAATCGGGGTAGTAAGCTTTAAGCCGTAACAAATTAACCAATCACGATTGATTATTCTTCTATAATTCGACTATGATTGGTCAATTTCTTAAAGATTAAAGTTTACTAATCTATTGTAGATCGGGACTAACCGGACAGCTGATGGGTGGGACCCGATTGACCACGATACAATTGGACACAGATTGTAATGATTGGTTCGACTCAGTAATTAACTAGATAATTCTTTTCATCGATTGGTTGTGTTCAATCATACCGTGGTCAATCGGGACGCTCCCATAGCTGATCAGCTGATCAGCCGAGCGCCACGCGCGCGTGGCGTAGGTCGTGCTACTACGTTCTTAGGCACAGATATCTATACTAAATTAGATTGCTAACTGAGGCTTCGAACTTGTATCACATGAGGTTGTATGTGAGAAAATGGCGGCGGTCCTATGTATGTGACATGTCACTTGTGTGAGTACTTACAACGTACAATGTGAGTCAGCGTGGCCATTAAATTATTGTCGTAAAACCAAAAATGCCAGTATTTTATTGCATCAAAAAATATCGTAACAAAAAAATAGATAGTACTGGATGTTATTTGCTCTGCTCATTTTCAACAAAAGAATTTTATAACTAAACGTAGTGAAAATATGTAGCTCCCGAATGTTATGCATTGCAGTTCTCGGGGCGTTCCTGGGGTGTTACGGTCGAGGCAGGACGCTCGGTGGGGTTTTAGTCGGTGGGAGTCCGACATAACCCCTGACCTTACCCAGAAGGTCGGGGGTATGCATAATGCATTTCCCCATCGTCAAAAAAAAGAAAAAGTGAAAATATGTGGCGGTACCGGCCATTTTCTCGTATACACCGGAAACTCTATCGGACGTAAGCAGTTATATGCTTTTAGATAGCCTGTTAGCAAGCTAGTATAGACATCTGTGTTCCTAGATAGTAACTAGTAACTGTGCAATTTACTCACACATACACACACACACATTGCGACGCCCATTCATGAATGAAGCGCGCGCGCGCCTGATATTCCACGCGTTATAACTTGGCCAAAAATTGATATAGCGATACGCGATAAAGACAGATCTGTTGGGTTGTTGATTGCGCGTCTGTTTGTATGTCTTACGACTGGAATTATCAGAATATAGGGTGTTCCGAGACTAACATAAGTAAAAGATAAATATAGTTTTATTTGGAAGTAAAAAGAATATATTGAAGGGAGAAAAAGCACATGTCATCTTAAGTCAATGTACGTCATCTTAAAAAGTGATATGTCGAAACTGTTAACCTTTACAGTCAGGGCGGTTTTTTGGGTGATTTTTACAGTCTTTGAACTAAGACGTTTTCTTATACATGAAAGGCTAGACGAGTAAAAAACATGATACTGTAGTGACTTCTCGGATCGCAAGAGTTAATATATTGATTTGGGAGCATTGCTGGATAAACGATCGATCTGAGACTCGGGCGAGTCGTAACAAAAATCTGACGCATACGTCTGATGTAATTAATAAGATCTAATTAAAAATAAATATCAAGTATAATTAGTCTGATATAATTAAATGTATTAATCCCTCAAATTTACGAAATCGCACACAACGAAGCTTTCGAAGTAGTTCTGAGCCGAATGTTCCACGAAAGTCGTTAAAATCGCTCGAGGCTTCGCCTCGGTCAAAGTGACCGTCGCCGAAGGGGTTTGCGGTCGCAGAAGTAAAGTACGGCGCGGCGACTCCAAATAGTTTGGTGGAGCTTCGTGACTGCAGTTCGCGGCAAGCGATCCCGATTGACAGACGCGGTCGAAGCAGAGGACTGATTCGACCGGCAAGTCACCTTAAACTCGCCGCAGAACGTCAAAGGACCGAGTCGATTGCCAATTCGATGGGGCGACTCTCGAGTTGTTCCCAGTGCGGCGCGACGAGTTTACGACGTGAACTTCCGCCGACGTAATTGTCCCTTACGGGCGCAGTCGCGCTCTTGTTATTTCAATTTATGGGCGATCTGGGATCCCACAAGCCCACAAATCGATGCACTTTCAGTAGCAGGCGCGTCTACCGATCGAGAGGTGCCTTTCTCTTCGCGCTGCGACTTCTCTACCGTATATTTTTTTCGCGGTATATTTTTTCCTCTTCAAGTATGCCGCTCTCGTTCGATGTCTTTTGGATTCGCGACTGTCATAAATATTTCACGCAATGCACGTATCGCGCTTCACTCGCGCGCGCAGTTTTATTACTCCCGGAAAAGTTACGTGCTCGGTTTTTATACCCGTACGGGACTATCGCTCTTCACTACTGCGAAAATGCGATGCCCACGGGGAACGTCGCTTTTGTTGCTGCGCGTGCACATCTGAGAGAGAGACAGAGAGAGAGAGAGAGAGAATTTTCAAGAAACAAAATTTGTATCCGTTTGTGGAGAGATACGAGAATGAAATAAATGCGTGAGTGCGGCTCGCCAGCTAACCCGAGCCAAAAATGAAGGGACCGAGTGGGAATTGATTTTGCGACTGGAAAAGCGCGCGTAGCTGACTCGTAATATCGCGCCAATTCCCACCACTCTCCTCTCTCGGTGTTCCGGCGATGTATCGTATGGCGGTAGCGGCGGCCAATAGCGTTGTGGGGAACGAGGACGACGAGGAGGCCTCGCCGCTTCGGCGAGGTCGTCGCTTTCGTTCGGCGGCTGTTCAGTGCGCGTTCGCTCGCGTCATGTAACGGCAGTAGTGACTGGGGCGACGCCGCAGGTCGCAATTCTCACGAGATGGCGGCTGAAGGCTGCGTTCTGTGCAAGCAAAGACGCAACTACGCACAGGGGATATCGTTCCACGTGTAAGACCCGCATGTGGTGTGTGTGTGTGTGCGCACGCGCGCGCGTGTTGTGTATGTGTGTGTGTGTGTGTGCTGACGCGTGCTGCGTAACACACACGAAGCGGTTTCCAATGTAGAGCGATAAGCACGCGCGAAACTCGAGCCGATCGATAGAGCGTCGCGTGAATTTAACTTGAGCGATCTCTCGTTGCGTCTTGTCGTCGCGATTCTACGATTTGTAGAAGAAAGCCGGACGAGCCAGCGAGCATCAACAGACTATGAGTGCAGTCGCGTCAAAGATGGCGCGTTTGCTTACTGCGACGTTCAGGAGCGTAACTATCAATTATTCCGGGCCCCGGGCTGAGAATCCAAGATCCCCTTCTCTTTGGGGTTATAATTAATGACCGATGGCAAAACATAGCAGTCGATCTAATCTTTTTAATGTTTTTTTAATTACAGAAATTTACATGTTATTTCAATAAAATGTAACCGTTGATGTTCTCTTTTTTCTTTTTTTAATTACGGTCACCGACATATCGGTTAAAATGTAACCGTTGATTTTATCGCGTTTTTTATTTGTAGTTATTGACGTATTGCCTGAAACGTAACCGTTGATTTTGTCATGTTTTTTGTTTTAATTAATGTATTGCTCAAAATGTAACCGTTGATTTGACCACTTCTTTTTAATTACAGTCATTGATGTATTATTTAAAACGTAACCATTGATTTGATCGCTTTTTTTGTAATTGCAGTCATTTCGTATCGTCCTCTTGTGACTTGCGTGTTTCCTTAGATTTCCCACGGATATGGAACGTAGAAAAAAATGGCTGAACGCTATCGGAAAGTCTGGCAAGGGCATACCCGCCCAGTCGTGTCTGTGTTCACGACATTTTTCGCAAAATTGTTACACGGGCTCGATTCTAAAGGACGACGCGATTCCAACCTTGGACCCGGAATCGGCTGATTCGACGTTGGACGCGGGAACCGAGAAGGACCAATCGCAGCAGCCGGAAAAGCAATCATGCCCGCAGATTGCGAGACCGATTATTCGTAGGTGAGAATTAACATACGAGGAATAGCGAAACCCGACGACGACTAGGTGTATCGAATTACTCGCGTAATTAAGGAGATGCTGAAAACTTTATCGACAAAGTACGGACATTTTTGCAAAGTTTACGTCAAGTTTATTAATTGTACAGGATTGCGAATGCTTTTACACAATGAAATTTACGTGCAAAAATAAATGGAAGCATTGCTCAATATGTGACGAAAACGAAAAAAAATTAAATGCAAGCATTTCAATCAGCATATTTGTCTAATCCAAAAGTTGTATATACTGAAAATGTGAATGTTTAAAACTGAAAATTTTTGAAGAACATTGCTGTATACTAGGATTCATTAATGCCTTTACTTCCGGTATCTGGAGAATTGGACTTTTTCGAACTGACACATCGTTTCTCAGTAAGTGTGAATCGTGACTGTTATTTACTGGAGAAACTGATTCAGTTATTGACGTATTGCCTGAAACGTAACCATTTCATCGCGTTTTTTTTTAATTACAGACACTTGACGTATTGCTCAAAATGTACTCATTGATTTGACTACTTTTTTTTAATTACAATCATTAACATATTATTTAAAATGTAACCATTGCTTTGATCGTTTTTTTTGTAATTGCAGTCATTTCATATCGTCCTCTTTTGACTTGCGTGTTGTCTTAGATTTCCCATGGATCCGTCTCGGTTCTTACAGTAACTAACAGTCACGATTCACACTTACTGAGAAACGATACACCAGATCGAAAAAGTCCAATTCTCCAGATACCGGAAGTGTAAAATTAATGAATCCTAGTGTACCTTCATATCTGAACTTGGAAGCTTAAAAATATCGAAAAAATTCGCAGAAAGATTTCTACACTTAACACTGCGTGATAAGAAGTCTGTTCTTTTCAGCTGCACTACTGAATTGGTGCAATAAGTTAAAGTGAGACAAATATATCTTTTCTCACTCTAACTTATTTGCACCAGTTCAGCAGTGCAGCTGAAAAGAACAGACTATAGGTTTTTCGCTGAATATTATAAAACAGAGCAATACACATTCATCTATAGTAAGATTTATATAAGAAATACGAAGAGGACAGCATGATTGTGTTGGTGACGATCATCTCTGCATTATCGACATTCTCCGAGTTTGTCGTTGACTTCAGCATCTCCTTAAGTAATGAGCGACTAGGCGATTGCTTTTAGCCGTTGCATTAGCCGACAACGCTTCGCGCTCAACGCACGCATTCTTTCGAGAAGACCGCGGATTCGCATGCTGTCGGACGAGGAGATACAGGAGATGCAGCCGATGAAGTACGTGCGCTACCTGAAGAGCGTCAACTGGGACGAGATCTCGAAAGTGCCGGCGGAGGCGAAGATCGCCTGGGAAGTGGCGATGGAGGAGCTGAAGGAGGGCAACGATAAGATAAAACATCTGCAGGCGCACGTTTGCCAGCTCAAAACGACCGTTCGCAAGCTGGAGGCTGCGCTGAAAGCACGCACGAAGAGGGCGGCCGTCGCCGCAATCGCAGCGCGTCATCGCAAATCTCTCGATTAGGCTCGTTGTCCAATCTGACTCTTAACCCTCACGGCCAGGTCAGTTTTCGTCGAGCGACTTTAGGCCTGTATCAATAGTCGTTATTTGTCTAGAGATGTTCAGATTTGGATTCAGACTCTGATGGGACTTTTCCAGCTAAACCACATGACACTGCAGACACAAAATGTCATGTATATTATACTATTTAACTATGTAAATAGCTATCTTGATATACCTTACGTATATTACTTAACTGAAAGAACTCTGATCCAGCTTTGAACTCCGATTTGGATCTTAAGTGAGACAAGTTTCAAATTTCAATGACTATTAATATAGGCCTTAGTCTTTCAACGAGAATTTGCACATGTCAAAGGGTAGCTTGGTGAAAAATATGAGACTCCACTTCACAGCCAGTGCAGTGGCTTCCCGGATTGTAAGGGTGAAATAAAGTGTGAAGAAAACAAGGACAAGAAAGTGCCGCGGATGTGTGAAGCGCAACAACTAAATTGCGACAATTACTGCTCTATAAAGGCACAAAATCTCATCCTGATGTAATAAAAGTTATGCACAAAGTTACATATAAGAATAAAAATCCTTGCAGCGCGTGTTTACGACTGTCTGCATTCATTTATGAATTCGACTTCCTATCAGGTTACTGTTTGCATTTCGTGACTTACGAACGAATCGTCGAGCATTAAAGCGCATTAAACATTTAAGACCCGGCTCCGCAACTTGGTTTAACTTGTTAAACCGGAATTTAACTTGTTGAAGTCCCACACAGACGAACTTGCATAGTCGCATTATCCATACACGCAAGAAAATTGACTAATCTGATGTAAAGTGTGCCTAATGTAAGCGGCATCTTTCGCACTGCACTGTTCATGATTGGTTGATTCCATTTCCCTATACATAGGCGCAATATGAGATTGTACAAGCTTGTTTTGGTCCTTGACAAGTTAAACTCCGGTTAAAGTTATAGCAAAACCAGGTTTAAGTAGCGACGTTCTCCATTCGCCTAATTCTCGGGCTTATTTTCGAAAGGACTGATTCATGCACGACCAGGACAATACGAAACGAAACATTCAACAACCTCGCGGCGGCGCAATTACGCCGCGAATAAGATCCGCGCTCTCTGCGCCTCTATCTTTCCATTATGGAGAATGAGGCTGAGGCCTGTTCTCTCTCTCTCTCTCTCTCTCTCTCTCTCTTTCTCACCCCGTCGTTGCGCTGTTTGCACTCGACAATGCGACCGCGACCAGACACGTTCTCGCGTTGCCAGAACAAATGCATTCGTCGATGGCATTCCGCGAGTCCTTTCAGCGAAGACAAATGCGACGAGCCCGCGTGCGCTCTTCTGCCGTGTAACAGCGCGGCGCGTAGTATGTTTACCTAACCGACAACCAGCAGAGCGAAATACGGGACGAGCGGGGTAACTAGAAATGGGAGGCCACCGAGCGAAACGAAGAACGATGTGAGGGCGGCCGGGCAGGGGATGAAAGCGACGAACGGGATCCTTTTGTTCGCGAGAGTATCGCGCGCGATACTTCGACCATGCGTGTAGCTACTCCATGTTATTAAATGAAGGAGAGAAGCTCGATTCGCGAGCAAATGCACCGGAAAATGAGGGAAGAGAACAACTCCGTTAGTGGAACCACGAAACAGACGAAAGGTCAACGATTAGGGTTTTATTCCAAAAGACCCTTTTTAAGGAAAATTTTACTGAAAATCTATATGTAACATGAACTACAGATTTTCAGTAAAATTTTCCTCAAAATACGTTCTAGAATGCAACATAGGATAATTAGTAATTAGAATTCGATAACATCACCTTATACTGATCAAATGAGTGATAAGAATCAGTCTGGCTACTTCTACTCCTTCTTTTCCTATTCTTCTAATTTCTATAGTGTTCTCTAGGGAAAACGGAATTATTCCAATGAGAGTCCATTCCTCACAGTTTCACACGTACGTGTCCTGGACCATGAGATAAATTTCTAGCCGGATTACACGCGCGTAAAGGGATATCTCAGCCGTGCCATCGCGTTTATATGAGAACGCGTCGACGGATTATTAAGTAAATGCTTCTGAAATGTGCTTCCGAATTCACGATATCACCGGCGAACCTTTCTCCGGTAGTACATGAAATAAAACTCATATTTCCTCTATGCCTGCTTCCTCTCTCTCTCTCTCTCTCTCGTCCTTGTCAGAATTTTCCGGACCCAGCGCCGCATAAAACGAGCGCGGGAAGATCAAGGTAGGAAGAGTAACGCTGATAGACAGATGGAAAACGAGAATAACAGCGGCGAAGGACGGCCGGGAGGGCCAAGAGGGTGAGAGAGAGAACGGAAGAGAGGCGCAGAGAGAACGCGAGAGGATCGCAGTGCATTCGCGATCCCCCGGAGAACCAGCAAAGCTCTGCTGCAGTATACTAAATCACCACCCCCGTGGTACGCCCGTGTATCTCCCCGAGATGGCGCGAGAGCGAGTGGGAAAGGAGAGTGAGAGGGCGAAAGAGGAAGGGTGGGAGGGAGGAGAAGGGAAGAGCACACCCGGTCATTCTTTATATTTTATTCACGTTTCATTTCACCCGATCGTATGTACTGAAAAGAGACGGCGGCCCGTAACGAGAACGCTCCCGCTCGTGCATTCTCGCGCGCAGCTTTCGTCATTGCAACGACATGGATGCATCGTGGACGTGACGAGGACGCGCGGCACGATCGACTTTGTCAACTTCCGGAAAGACTGGACGAGAAATATCGATCGGAGGCTCGAATCGGAGGTACGGGGGTGTGTTGTCGCGTTGCCGGGACCAGATGCGTGTGCGGAAATTTCATAGCGCACACAGTTCGTCTTTTCGCGCGACGATTTTGTCGTTAGGGATAATTTGTAACGAGAGGAGTTTGCAGCGAGAGGAAACGGGATGTTAAGGTCGATACAAGGAGCAATTTCGTGAAGATAAGATCTGCGCGACCTATTCTCATATGACGATGTATGTGTGTGCGTGTGTGCGCGCAATACATAAACAGTGCGTGAGTATTCTTGCAGACAAAGTGGCGTCATAAAGCCGCCCGGTCGTGTAGCGGAGACGCGCCGGAAAGTTGCGGACGGAAATGCAACCGGGTCAAAAGTTCCTCTATTTTCAAACACTGCGTCAGACTGGGAACTCGCGCGCTGTCGCTCGCTTTCGCGCAGTTTTGTTCGAATGTATGATGCATTATTTTTACTGTCAGTCTTATTGCCCGACGACGTGGCTCGCGCTCAGAGAAGGTCGAGTTATATATACGGCAAGGGGGGTGGGGCAATTTTACGTCATGAAACTGCACTCTTGCTACATCCGTCCGACTTACGTACATCGACTCGATTATACACTGGGAACTTCCTCTCCGGAGGATTTTGCTACGCAACCTGAGAGAGAGAGAAAGAGAGAGAGAGAGAGAAAGAGAGAAAGGGATCTCGGAAGAAACTTATTTCGACTATGCTCAGCGCATAACACCAAAGTGGTCTATATGGTTTTCTTTGAACGTATCCTCTCGCTCATTAAAAATTAAAAGTTGGAATTAAGTAATGGACTTATGACGACTTTTCATTTCCTCAAAAATGTGAATCTGATTCCTCCTTTTTCCAATGTTCTTTCTGGCTACTTTAATCGATGGAACTATTTCTAAAATAAATTAGGAGAAATATATGGGGGGGAGGGAGCGAGAGGTACAGTCAGAACTCTAAATATTTTTTCTTAATTTTGAAAATAGGGACTAACTTCACGTAAGCTCTCGCGCTTCGTTCACTCGCGCGCGTACCCTCGAAGATTGCTAATTTCCGCGTTTCCAGGTGCGCGTGAGACTTCAGGCGAGATGTCGCGACTGTTCTTGGTGAAATACCTGGCGAGGACAAGCGCGGCTGACTATCGAACGAGTTCGCTACTAGACCGCGAATCTAAACTTCGCCTGCCGCCGGACTACAACGTGCTCGATCTCCTTGCAAACATATCCCGGCCCAGAACTCAACTTCCTGACGCTGTCAATCCGTGCGAGAGGGAAAGGCAGGGGCAGCCTGTAATCCCGTCTATGGAACGAATATACAGGGTGCTGCGATCTGCGCACTCCATACTCTCTAGTTTTCCTCAAGTGGAATCTCGCACAGAGTATGTTCACTCAACGCGATATTATCTTCAATATCGTACGATTTCGCGCAGTACCTTCACTGCCACTTGAAGTGGCGAGTGCCACAGAGTACTCGGAGCACTTCTGAAGGAAGTCGAGAGTGCACTCAAAAAAAATTGCAGTCATAGCGAAAATCACCTAAATACCACGTTAAATTGGTTGAGATTGATAAATGATTGGCAAACGCTGCGACGTCGTATATTTTGCATTTATTCGTATATAACGTAGGTGACACAGAGACAGAATTTCTATCCGAACCATTAGTGAAATTTGGCAAGAAAGTCTCTGCGGCGCCAAAAATTGATTATAGTAGACAAGAAAGATTAATGACGGGAGAGACAGACAAATGTATAATCCGGATCTAACTTTGTTTGCGGATATCATTACTAGAATGCTGCTGCTGTAAATTCCGCGCACCACTCAGTCACGAAATTGGAATTTGGAGCGCGTGGAATTCGCGAACATTTCAAGCTGACATGTATTTGTCAATCACGCGTTAATTATCGCGATTGATTGGTCGACACATCCCAGTCGGGGAAGATCGACGATCCGGCCGAGAAAATTGTTCGATTTTGCAATGTTCCTACGACCACCCAGACATAATTTCACCGACCGGGACTCGCTCCTGGACACCTTGTACAATGGAGCTGCTCGCAAATTCGCGCGCATATCAGACGGGGTGGCTCGCCCGGGCGAATATAATTAAGCTATTCCCCGCGATCAAAGCAACTTTCGGCACGCGCAAGTTGCAACTCTACTTCGCCCGGGGGGCGAAATGACGCGATGAGAAATCCGGCGATGCCGCACACAATGTCGCGATAATTCCGTATCGATACGTGCACGCCTGTCGAGAATATCGCCAACTACACGTAAATTTATCCCAACCCTCGGCCGCTGCATTTAATCCCGCTTAATCGTGCAGATACATATGCGCGATATACTACGTCCGCATTAATACTGCGAGTTCGTTAAAATAAATGACGCGCATAAAAACTGCACGCAAAAATATTAACGGCACACGCGACATTGTGAATATATTAAACATTGGACTCGTTGAATGCCAACGAGATTTTTCAACTGTTTCTCAGCGCGCTCTCTCTCTCTCTTTCATTAAATAAAAAAAATGCTTTGCTGGTGCCGGAATTATACAGTTAAAATTATTAACAGTTGAAATATTCGTTGTTTTTATCTGCTAGAAAGTTGTATGCGGAATTTACAGCGGCAGTATTCTGGTAATATCTGCGAGCAAAGGTGAAGATTATAAAATCGCCTGTCCCTTGTCGCTGATCTTTCTTGTCTTTCACAGATGGCGAACTTCAAAACTTCAACCATCGTCACTAATATAATCACGCTAATATAATCACCTTTTCTTGTACATACAGAACTTATGTAAATGTGTGTTGCTTTGTTTTACCATATTTAATGGAAAACCTAACCACGCACATGTGTAGAAATGTGTTCTGCAAATTTTACTGATATTCTTAAGCTTCTGAATTTAAATACGAAGATAATACATCAATGTTCCTCAAAATTATTCTGTTTAAAGCATTCACACTGTCGGTATGTACATTGGATTAAACAAATATTACACTAACTGATAACTTAAGGGGATGCTGAAGCTGCAAACTTTACCGACAGAACACTGACATTTTTCTGTAAAGTTTACATCGTATTGGTTACATAGAATAATAAATGCTTTTACGCATTTATAATTTACATAGAATTATAAATATTTTTTAATGAAAGTACGTGCAAAAATAAATAAGAGCATTGCTTGATATGTTACGAAAACGAACAAAAAATTTTTAATGTAAAATCTTAAGCTGTCAGCGTAATATTTGCCTAATCCAAAAGTTCCGCAGCTTGTACATACCGAAAATGTGGATGTTCCAAACAGAAAAATTTTGAAAAACATTGCTTTACTTTCGTAGCTGCACTTGGAAGCTTAAAAATATCGAAAAAGTTTGCAGAAAAATTTCTACACATATATGGTTAGGTTTTCCGTTGAATATGATAAAACAAAGCCACACACATTCATGTAAGTTCTGTATATACAAGAAATACGAAAAGAATAGCGTGATTAATTAGTGACGATCGTCTCTGCATTATCGACATTGTTCGAATTCGTCATCGACTACAGCATCCCCTTAAGATTTTACATTGACAATTTTATTTTCATTTTCATCACATATTGAGCAATGTTCCCATTAATTTTTGTACGTACTTTCATTAAGTAAAAGCATTTGCAATTCTGCGCAAGCAATACGACGTGAACTTTGCAGAAAAATGTCAGTACTCTGTCAGTAAAGTTTTCAACTTCAGCAAATCCTTAATCTGAATAGGAGCCACAGAGAAACTTTCTTGCTGAATTTTAGAAATGATTCAAATAAAAATTCTGTCTTTATCATCTACACTGATTAAGCAACCAAAACGTATGCGACATCGCGATACTTGCCGGTCACCGATCGATCTTAGCTAATTTCTCGTATCTAGATGATTTCCGTTACGTTCGACCGCGAGACCACTTTATCGAGTGCTATGCGCGCGTACTGACAAAAAGAATTCCCGTGTTATTATCGCCGACTATCGTGAATCTCCCTCGCATTTGCTCGTCAGGGTCGCCGGTGGTGTTTGCACGGTGCCATAAAAGGCGAACAACTTTTCCAATATACCGAATTGCCAGTCGTCACGCTACTAGCGTTTGCTGCGTTGCGCGTTACCGGGCTGGCTATAGTAACAACGAACAAACAGCCTTAAACACAGTCACGATCGCGCGGCCCTCCCTGAAATTCGAACGCGACGCGGGCTCAGCCTGCCTGGCCGATAACTCGCGCCATAAATCCAGCGGTACTTTATCGCCGTTCCCGGAGAGTTTACGATCGCGATAGCTTGCTCGCATCCCACCTTCCGTTCGCTCGCTCGATTCTCGTGGCGCGTGCAGTCCACGCGATCTCGAATGATCCTGCGAAATCGGCTGATGAATGATTAATCGACGCGAACGAATCGACGAAAAAAATATCACTCCATCTTTAGCAGAATCCTCATATACATCACCCTTCAAGGGGATTCTCCCAATACTAAGAGGAAAATATTCCAAATAGAATCTTTCTCAAGTTAACTTTGTCCTTTATTAACTTACAGCCCAAGTCGAAATTTTGACCCTATGTTGAATCTTGAATTCTACACCGCAGTAGGAGCTAAGATAGCAAAGTAGGTTTAATTCTGATGATATAATTTACTTTTACTTTGATCCTAATGATGTCTGCACGGAAAAAAAAAGATTTGCTAATATATGGACAACTAAAAATATTAATTGCAGGAGCAAATTTTCTTGCTTTCATAGCAAAGTTATTCAGTTGTGATAGCTAAAAGATTTGCTAATATATATATTAGTAAATCTTTTAGCTATCACAACTAAATAACTTTGCTATGAAAGCAAGAAAATTTGCTCCTGCAGTTAATAATTTTAGTTGTCCATATATTAACAAATCTTTTTTTTCCGTGTGAAATTTCCGTTTTCGCTTTCTTTAGCGTCAAAGTAGGTTGTATAATAGTAGGATCTTAGGAAGCAAAGTAGGTTCAGTTGCGAACCTCTATTGAAGCTTTAGCTCCTACATAGAATATATGTATTTTATAAAAATATTTAAAAAATTAATAAATAACGAAACAGAAACGTCAAATAGCATACAAAATATACATTTTATTTGTTACATATATTTCAGACATCATCAGAGTAGGAGTAAATTATATCATTAGAATTAAATCTACTTTGCTATCTTAGCTCCTACTGCGATGTAGAATTCAAGGTTCAACATAAGGTCAAAATTTCGACTCGGAAATGAGTGTCAATATCGTCAAAATAGATTTAATCTAGATTGTAGATTATCTAAGTAGGCTCAAACTATTTTTTAAGAGCGCAAAGTAATATCAAAATTTCGACTCAGGAGTATAAGTCTTAATAAAAATGTCTTGTAATAGGAGAGCTTTCTTCTGCTTCAAGTAACTGTAATTTTCTCTTGATTCAAGAGGAGAAAAATTAGAATAATATCTAATAGATTTCCGATCGATATAGTCTATCTCGTTAAGAAAAGCAATACTTTTTCGTTTAGAATATGACATTGAAGAAAATGACATTTTGCACAATTCAGAGTTCTCTTTTTAATTTTATATAACTTTATATAAAATTAAAATGTTCCTTTTGATTTTAGAAGAATTTTTTTGGAGCCAATTGTATAAGAGCATTCCACTAAAGATAAAATTATATTTTTTGGGTAAGGGATATAATTCGACGGGGGAGAAATGATCGCCTGTTTACTGTCGCTCCGATTTACGCGCGGTAATAGCGCGCAAATGCCTTTTTGCACGCCCCGAAGCGCGAACGTGCCGTGGTCAACAGACGATGGTTACATAATAATTATAATACACAATGATGATAATAATAATAACAATAATAGCTGTGGTGCTATAACTCGTGGCAGCATTACGTTACATTGAAATCCGGTGAATTCCGCAGAGGCAAATACCTCGCGAACGTTGGTGAAAATTATTATGCGCTTACCGTACATCTGCTGAATCCCGTGCCGGTCGTCCTCTGGCAGCTCGTAGTTGGGGCTCAGTCCTTGGTACCAGGGATACATGAGAGCTCCCTGGACCGAGCTGTGCGCCAGTCCCAGGGAATGGCCGAATTCATGAGCGGCCACCGCGAACAAGCTGGTGCCTGGAAGCGCAGAAAAATATTCAGAACTCCCGTCGGGCCCGAGCATCTTATCTGCATAAATGTGTGTGTACGTGTGCAGCGTACGAGGGCGAACACTTCTCGCATTTGTGTCAACCGCGGTATTTGCCGGCGTATCCGTGTGCGCGTGAATGTTTGCGTGCAAACACGCGGAATACGAGACAAGAATGGCAGGAGGAGATCCGCGATTCTGCCTTGCCGGCGTTTTCTCTATTTCTCAGGTATCTCGCGAAGGCGGGAATAGACGGAATACAGTAAAAATGCGATTTTAGCGGCAGGAAGAACAGGAGGACGAGGGAAAGATGGGATGAGACAAGAGAGAGTTACCGCAAGCGTATCCGTCTCCTAAATCAGATCTCATCAGTTTCCTTATTATTATTGAATATGAAAAATATCTATCAAAACAAGAGACATGAGAAATGTAAACAAACAATTTTTAGATATTTTATTGTGCACGTGTTATAAGCATTTTAAAAGATTAGGAGACTGGTAGAGGAAATGAAAAAATTTGATTGTATTAATCAAACGTCTAGTATAATAAGATATGAACGAACCTGATTCTGGCAACTGTTCCCTACTCGTCTGAAATCGTTATCGAATGCTTGCTCGAGTCGCTGAACGTGCGTGTTTGTATGTAATAACCGATTTTTTGGTGCGAGATTGCCTCGGAAGACATCGCGATATCGCGGCCGGAGAAAGCTCCGTATCTATCGCGGGGTTTTCCGCGTTCGCGTGACGAGTTTTCCGGCCAATTGCAACGGGAATTGCAGTCGTCGTCGCCGCAGAATCTCGGCCTTCGTTTCGTTTCGTTCCGACTCGATTCGTCCCGCATTGAGAAAGTACGTTCCCAGATACGAGTCGGCATCGTAAAGTGATCGTGATCCGAGTCGCCATCGGAAAAATTGATAGTATCGCGAATCGTTGCTTGCATCGCTGGGGGAAAATTCCCCGATATCACTGAAATCGAAATTTCACTCGTGACCTCCGATCCCGCGAAATTGCAGCCGTCTCGCGCGTAACTCGCGTCGTAAAGAATCTCTAACTACCTATAAAAATTTTTACATGCTCGAATCTCTCTCTCTCTCTCTCTCTCTCTCTCTCTTTCTCTCTCCCTCTCTCCCCATGAATGAAAAAATATAGATAAAATCCTCGCAGTAACAATATCGCGAACACGCGTTCATCTGCAATATCTTTCCGTGGAAATTGGAGTTTAATCGAAAATCAGATCACACACGCGATATATCGGATACTTCCATTCGTGGTGTACGCTATTGTGTCCCACTTGAACGGATTTTACGCGCGATTAAACGATAAGGACAAAAGGCGCGAAACGCGAGTACATCGTTCCCGACGTTATACGGGACACCCAGCTTCTACGGTGCATTGCGTGAACTTGTAAGCCGCGGCTGCGACAAAGCCGGACTGAAATCGCTCGAAAATAACGCGCGTTTAACGCTCATCGTTTCGGCGCTACTGCGGGTCGAGGAGGTCTTATTCGACGCCGAAATATTACGGCGACGAATGTGCGGCGTTCCGCAACGAGAAAACTTTCGCTATATAACGCGAAGATATCGTCGCCACCTCGGCTTACCGCATCTTCGCCTATCCGTTCTTCATAAGTTTGAGGAGAAGTTCTACTTAGGTAGCGGGAAAAAGTACGGGGTTTTTGGGCTCATCTGCGACATTCCACGGGACATTCTAAACCTGAATCGCCCCCAAACTAGCTGATATATCGCGCGACGTGATTGTTACTAGTGAATGAACGCGGCATCTCCCGCGGGATGGCGGTTTACACCGGTGTTTCGCAAACTACTGCATTCCCGTTTCTCGCTATTTGCAAAGACGACGACGGGGTCGCTCGTTCCCGCGGGTCGACGATGATTAGCAATTCATAACTAGATGGTAACCACTGGATGTCACGTCGCAAATCGGTTACATTTGTCCTAGTCAGGATGTGTCCTGTCTCTCTCTCTCTCTCTCTCTCTCTCTCTCTCTCTCTCTCTCTCTCTCTGCTCTCTGCTCTCTGTTTGTCATTCTCTATTCTCCTCATCTCGTTTCCACAGGGTTAATTTCGAGGAAAGGCCTGCCGCTGACATTAATGACCTCTGCCTAACAAGAATTATTAAGCACTTAAGGGGACAGCGATGCAAAACTGTGACAGTTCATTCGAGCTAACGAACGGCCGCACCGCAAATCGGGGATTCGCGATCAGCGTGGCCAGCGGAATTCAAGCTGCTAACTGCTAACTGCAGCAAAAATGGAGATGCGAAACAATGAGAGAGGAAGAGCGACAGCAAAAAACGGAGACCAGCCGACAAACCGGAAACTCGCTCGCTCGCGAATCACCCAAAATCGCCGAAGGAACGTCGGAGGGGACAGGGACACGTGACGTCGTGACGCCTCGCCGCCGACGGCCGAAATTAGCAATTTGAATACGCATGTAGCGACTGATAATGGCCGAGAGAGTCCTCTCTGCGGCGATGTCGCCCCAACATACGACGGTATAACTATGCTAATGGGAACTACAAATACGCTCGTCTAGGGAGAAGAGAGAGAGAGAGAGAGAGAGAGGGAGAGGGGGAGAGAGAGAAGGAAAAGCTAAGCCAGCATTATTAACGTTACCAATTTGAATCCGGGCGAAGGATATCGGGGCCCGAACAATCCGCCGCGGTAATCCGCCCGGGATGAGTCGGGGCGCGCTTCCGATATCGGGACGATTCGATTAATTGATACGGCTAATTAATAACCGCGACGTGACGGTGATTCGATTAGGGCCTGGCGCAGCACGGCAGAATTAGCCGACGGCTTCGTCAGGCGTGCGTAACCGCATTCGCAAGATGCGGAAGGTATACGTGCACACCCGAGCCACACCGCGCTCTGCTCCTCGCCGTTGTTCTCCCCCCTTCCCTCTCCCTCCCACCGCTTCGTTCATTTTCCATTGATGATAAGCGCGAACGATGCTGTTATCAAGAGTTTTGATTAAAGTTCCGAGAAGATCCCCGACTCGCCGGGACACGCAGCAATGATTGAACTTTGAACGCCGTTAAGCGTCTACAACGCGTGAGTTAAGACGAAAGTTTCGCGAGTACCCGATCGAGAAAATACTCTTCCGTCCCTTCTTTCCTTCCCTTTTTAGGGATGTAAATTATCTCTTATATTTATAAGCACGAGTAATTAACTCGATTTAAGTTCGCGGTGTTTTTTTAGCCATTTTTGAGTCTTGAAGATGATAAGGTGTTTTTATGTGTTCAAAGGCAAATTCACTTTAAAACTTATAGAATTCCAAGAGGCGAAACAAGAGAGATCGGGGGTGCGTTCCGAAATCGATTTCGGAAACTGTGCTTTGAGTTATAAGGTTGGTAGACCCTAAACCAACTTGGATTACATCCCGTAATCGATCAGCTGATTCACGCGATCGACTTTATGATCAGAGAATTCAAGGAAATTTGGCAGCTGTTATTAGAAAACAATTTCATAAACAGAAACAGTCTCGTGAAACGAATCGCGTGAATCAACTGATCGTTTACGGAACGCATCTAGTTAGTTTGAGGCCCACCTTATGACTAAAATGAAAGATTTCGAAACCGATTTCGGAACGTATACCAGGAGGGCTGAGATTTAGAGGAGGCAGGGGGTGACAGAGATCCATCTTGCGAAATACCGCGTCGTCGAGTTTGGCAAAAAAGCAGAAAACAATCGGAACTCGCGCTAATAGAAAAGCAGTAACTAATCGATTACCACCTGGCCACCAGCACGAGTTCTGATTGGCTCCTGCTCTTTTGCTTTCCGCTTTTCCGCCAAGGTGTGAATGCACTCAGGGACTCCCTAAGGGAATAAAGGTTTTACGGCGTTTAAATGGACAGAAGCGCGCGGGAGTTTCGCGTTAGCTGATTGTCATCATTGGGACAAGTAATTCGCGGTGATGCGCGACGCGAATTACGCAATTGAACGAATCCGGATAAAGGAACGTGCAACGGATGTGTATTTCGTGCGCCTTCACGAGGATCGTTCTCGGCGTGTGTCGCGCCTTGATTGAGCGCTAATTAAACGTGCGCTGCCGTGACCTGTTAAGGAAACACCATTAATCATTCCAACAGGTTGCTCGCGATGGTTCGTGTTCTCGCTGACTCTACTGCTCAGGAATCGCTAATCGTCACGAGATGATATCGACGCAGTCGAACGCGTCACAGCAGGCAATAATCGAAGCTGGATCGGCCATATTCTTCTTTTCCCTCCCATTTTTGGGAGGGAAAAGAAGAACAACATAGCGAGAAAGAGAAATAGTAAATGCAACCTGATTACTACACGGAAAAAAAAGATATTGACAACTAAACATAATTTGATGTGTTAGCCATATTTTTTTGCTGCAGGAACAAATTTTCTTACATTGAGAGAAAAATGTATGATATTTAGAACTATAATGGTAAAAACATAAATGATAAAAACTACAATGGTAAACAGTAAAAACATTATAGATAGGAATATCGTTTTTATAGTAAATGTCACCATAATGTTTGTAATATTTACAATATAAGCATAGTATAACTGACCTATGTAAAACTTTTATCAAGAATTAGATTTAAAAATATAGTAAGGTAATAAATATTGAATGGTAAGAGAAATTAACTGTTTTATATAGTCAATACAATTGGAACATTTGGCAAATATAGGTACATGTAACTATATTCTCGAAGTGTGCTTTATATATACATAGAGTAATAAAATGGTGACTATAAATCTGTATTCTGCTATGTCTTCATGTTTAGAAGAACTAAAAATATACGTTTGAAGTCAAAATAAATTATAAAATATAGTGAGATTATAGTTATTCCAACTATTTTTTCTCTCAGTATGCTAAGATAACAAGAAAATCTTCTGCAACAAAAAAGTAGCTAAAGCAGTAAATTATGTTTAGTTATCCATTTGTAGCAAATTTGCTGCGTTAGCTTGCTTGCTGTACAAGCAGATTTTCTTGTTATCGTAGCAAGGAAATAGGTTTCTGCAAAGAAAAAGTAGCTAACACAGCGAATTATGTTTAACTATCCATATATAGCAAATTAGTTTGCTGCTGCAGCAAATCTTTTTTTCCGTGTAGGGAAAAAAAACGGTATCCCTCTTTTCTAATTCCTCATATCTATGTAATTTTCGTTATGACTGCAAGATCGTTTTTTTGAGTGCAGCACGCGGCGCGATCGTCGCGCAAGGCGCGTCATTAGGGTGCGCGAAATCGAAGTTCTTACCTTCCTCGTTACTGTCGTCCTGCAACAACCATATCTCTTCCTCGTCGAAGTGAGCGTCCCCGCCGCGATCCTTGCCTGGGAAGAACGCGTGCGCCAGAATCTGGCCTCTGCCATCAAACGGATATCCATCTCCGTGATAACCCCTGAATAATGCACAGAATTATGCAACGCGAAACAAAATTACTGACCGACGTCGAAATTGCCGTTCTGTCGGCGATCTGCATTTGCAGCCCCGGCCAGGCTCTCGCTCGCTCGCGGAACTGCGTCACGGAATTTTCGCGCAGAATTGCGTCACGTTAGGCGTTATTAATGTCATATATGTGGGAGATCGCCGCGCGGTGATGAATACAATCTCTGCGTGGCCACGTAGTGGCTACTACTCGGCGAAATTTCCAAGACCTATCCGCAAAGGTCGTTACCGAGGCTCGAGTTGTCGAATATTCACGATCTTTTGTTATCAGCGCGGCCTCGTTCATTCCCCGCTGCTCGTCACTAATCGTCATTAAAACTTTCGTCCCTTCCGCGCCGAGATATTTTGGGCCGCGTGTAATAAGTAATTTCGAATTTTTCAGGTAAAGTGAAGTGATTATGCTTTTATACTTTTGCGAAAAGAAGGAAGGAGAAAGATGCAAAAGATCATCGAGCAAAATGGCATACACGCTACTTCATAAAAATATTGTAAAACCATAAAAGTCTGATCTACCGTGTGCTTTCTTTGCTTCCTTTTTTTACCTCCTATCTTTCTCTGACCAAAGCATCAAGATTTAAGTCAGAATGAAATAAAGAGAAAGAGACAAGAAGCAAACAGCACGTTGTAAAGCTGAGCTAACTGTTTCATTTTACCTGAGGAATCCTAACATTATTCGTTACGCAACCTGATGCATGGACTTCTTGCACGAGAAGTTTGAGGACAAAATGTAAAGGGTAGCTTCCCCTTTCACTGACCACAGGCATGCGACAAAGCATTTACAAGTTATCCCTCGACATGCTTCACTTCTTGCGAGGCATCTCCAATAGAAGTCAAGCTCCAATAGACACAAGTCGAATGCCTGTGGCCATCCTTTTCAGTTAATCTTCGCGGTCTCGCGTGGAGCGCTTAGACTATGTACACGTCTATGAAATAAGCGCAGAGATTTCGTGAAAACTCACCGATGGAAGTAGATTAAAATGTCGGCGCGATCGCTGTTAATCTCCCGAAAAGTCAGCTTGGAATTCCTGGCCCAGAGGTCGAGGGCCTTGCTGAGCTCCAGCCGAACCCCGCCGGTATCCAGGCCGCTGGGCTGCTCGGATCTCAAACTATAATAGAGAAACGTCGATTACATGAGACTCGATTGATCCAGTCGGCTTTGTGCGGAGGACATAAGCAGGTGATATTTGCGCAACGCTCCACCAAGACGATCCGTCGGATTCGATAAAGACAGAGCAAACCCGCTGATCGATTGTGCCCGGTGCTCAAGTGTTTGCCAATTATCAATTACCCGAGAACGTGCGATCGTTACGGCGGGGGGTCGCGCGACATACCTCAAGATTATCGAGCCCGAGACTGCGAAGAAGAAACCGCTCTTTTTATGTCGCGTACGTGAAAAGAAAGAGAAAAAGACGAGAGAAGATCAAGTGAACGACGTGCAAACGAGCAAGGCGGAAATACCAATACCTGCACGGAAAAAAAAGATTTGCTAATATGTATATTAGCAAATCTTTTAGCTATCACAACTAAATAACTTTGCTATGAGAGCAAGAAAATTTGCTCCTGCAGTTAATATTTTTAGTCGTCCATATATTAGCAAATCTTTTTTTGCGCGTGTGTGTGCACCGAGAAAAAATACTTGAACATTTATATTTGTGTGGGGTATACAATTTATTTCTGTGAAATTTCGCAGAAATTTTATTTCACCGAAATGTGAACTTTGCTTTTCAGAAATCAACTTTATATCCCATATAAATTTTCAGATATTTTCTTTTTAGTGTGTGCTTATTTAATATCGTTATCGTTTAAACGTCGTCGCGCAGCCACTATGTTGTATGCGTTATATCCGCACGACGAGACATGACGTGTGTGTTAGAAAATTACAGAGTAGGTTACACGGAGAAAAATATTTGAAAATTTATTTGTGGAATATAAAGTTTATTTCATAGAAATATTCGCAAATATTCGCATTTAAAATATTGGTATTCAAAAACCAAAAGAATGTTCAGAGTTAGATACGCATCCTTAGTGCTTAAAAGATAAGAAATGTACGATCATTATTTATTCAGTAGTGCAATTCTCATGTTAGTCACGAAAACGCGTTACGAAACTCCGACTTTCTTTCGCGAAACTCCGTAATTGTGCGACGCGCGCAAGAACACATACCGTGTCCCGTCCTCTGTGGTCTCGTCTCTCTCTTTCTCTCTCTCTCTCTCTCTCTCTCTCTCTCTCTCTCTCTTGGCGAACAGCGGCGTGACTTATTATTTACACGAGGTCGGAAGTATAACAACCGTGAGCCCCGCCGCCGCGGGCCTCGCCGTGAACGTTCGCGAGTTCGGCGTGCGAAGGACACGATGAGTTTCCAACTCGAGAGGGATCATCTTCTCCTCGTCCTGATACGCTCCAGATGCGCGGAATAACGTTCGTGCAGTCGACGAGACGGCATAAATTAAATATCTTCGTGATCGCTCCGCGACGGAATTTGTGTTTGCGATTTTCAGCCGTGTTCTCTCCTGTTACCTCCATCATACGATTTTTCATTGCATTTAATATCAATTCGCAAACATGTACAGAGAGAGAAAGAGAGAAAAAAGAAGAGAGGAAATGCATTTGTTATTACGAACGCGGGTAAACGAGCGCGACGCATAAACGCCATTCGCGTGTGTCAATAACGAGAGCAGAGACGGTTGTGCATCAACTGGCCGCGTTCGACTTTTGATGAAGCGAATTCGATGCGCGTTAATACACACGATTTACGTCAACATATAAACCCGCTCCGATGATTTACATTATTGACGGCCCGGCCCGGTCCGCAACAGCACGGCAGTCTCGGAAACGGCAATCTCGGGCCCCAACGCATCGATAATGATACGCGCATCGTGCATCGACGCACCGCTTCCGCTCGCTCGTGTTTGCGCGTGCCTGCTTTATTAAAACGATCTCCCCCGTACCGCTTAATTAGGCAAATTCGCCGTGGTCGATTCGACGCCGATCGATACCGCGGAACTTCCCGCCAGCCAAATCCGACCACGCCGACTACGTCTTGCACGATTGCGACACATAGCTAAGCTTGAACATTCTTATTACTCTTACTTCATTATTTTCTTTAGACACTAACACAAACTTTCAACACAAAGTATATATCAGAGTTGTTGAAAATATCTATTAAATTCGCCTCAATTTAATAATTGATTTGAGTAAATAATTTCTAATTTAATTTGTTGATAAACTAATGACGATTAATATAAGCTTATTCAATTAAAAAATTTTAATTAACCACTGACTTCAAGAAATCTAATTAAAAATAATTCAATTAACGACTGATTTAGAGGAATTCAATTAAAAACTGTTAAATTAACGATTAAAATGAGCGAAAGTAATTAAAGATTATTCGATTAACGATTAAACATAGTTAATGTAATTAAGGGTTATTTAATTGACAATTGATATAAGCAAATTTAATCGAAAAGCGCAGTAAGACGCTCGTTTTAATCGTTAATTCAACAGTTTTTAATTGAACTCTTTCAAATCAAACATTAATTGAATGATTTTTAATTAGATTTCTTGAAGTCAGTGGTTAATTAAAATATTTTTAATTGAATAGTCTTATATTAATCGTCAATTAAATTCAATAATTAATTGAAAAAGTAATTAATTACTTTTACTCGCAATTCTGGTATATATGCATGTGTTGAATATACATTTTATGTGTATTATATTATGTGTATTATATTATGTGAATATTTAAATATCCATATTTAAAGACCGGAATAATAAGAATGCCCAGAATTGAGTACGTGTTCGGGAATTGGTGCTTCTACTCCATGTTAGACCAAGACATTCTTGCGCTTATTTACAAACGCATCAAACACTAAAAGATCCAGGAACTAACATCTTGGCTCTGATTGGCTAGGCACTCGCGTTATTTACTTAGAACATTCGATGAATGCTTTTCTGCCTGTCTATTGTTGGGAATTTTGCAGAATACAGATTTATCTTGTGTATCGCGTGTGCACAGCTGGCAAAAAAGAGGTCGTGTTATTCGCGGATCTATGCCGCCGCTTTTGGAGTAAATAAACGGGAACACGGGGAGATAATTCACCCGGTATTTCTCGCGCGTAATTGCAACATCATTCGCGCATCCCCAAAAGGCGATCGATTTAAATTTGCGCGAGGGCGGAGACGCGGATCGAGTATATAATGCGCGATACGGCCTTAAGCTGGCTACATACGCGTGGTACATGTATACATAGAAGCACAGACTCTCCCCTCACTCTCCCTCTTTCTCCCCCCGTCCCGTGGCGGAAGGATATTATTTCTCGATGTAAATTCCCCTATCGATCGTCGCGCGTAATGTCGCCCCTCGTCCTCGAGCAATCGCTCCTCTTTTCGCGAGAGAATCGTCCTTGCGCAGGATAACACGTTATCCTCGTGATGCAACGAAGCAACGGAAGAGCACGTAAAGAGATATGAAGCAGAGCAAAAATAATTATATGAGAAAGAGTTCGAAGGGAAGCACAAAGGAAGGAAAAAATCGCATTGCTCTGAATATCGAGGTACATCGCGGATACCTCACGAGTTTTTCAAGCGCGATACCTACACGGAGGGCCAAAATTTGATTGCATTTACATCGAGGAATTATATTAATAATATATAACTCATTGTAATAATAAATTATATATAAAATAAGTACAATTAATTAGAGATATGTGTGGATACAGAGATATGTATAATTTTGTAATAATCATATAAATGATTATATGAACTGATTTTAATTTATAATCACAGAGAATCGTTAGATTTTCTCTGTTGCTATACATTAGTATGCAAATAAAATTGGTTCATATAATAATTTGTATAATTATTATGAAATTACACATATACTCCTACTTGTATGTATCTTTAATTATTTATATTTTATATAATAACTTTTTAATTTTACATCCTTCTTAACATCTTGTTCACTCTTCTTCTGAAGGACTGAGTTTCTAGACAAATAGACAAGCGACACTGAGAGGAGCTGTTTATTTGGCTAATTAAATCTTGTGATTCAGCGCCATATTATTTCTTATCATGGTGAACGGATAAAGGTTAATGATACAGTAGAACATATATACTGTTGACGTTGCAGAGGAATATCAGTTTAACGTAGTCAGTCAAAGTTATAAGCAAATAGTTAATAATAAGTAACATAAGTACATTTTATTTGTATAAATTTTTACTTCACCCTAATTTGCCTCGACTTTTATCTGCATCGACTTCTGTCTTCTCTTAATATGGCCGGGAACCCGATCCCGGCTGTCGAATACGAAGAATAAAGATAACGGTTCTTCGTCTGTATTTAATTATACAGAGAGAACGATTTATTGAATCAAATATATATTTTTTTGGAATAACCCAAACAAATTATTTAATTGACAAAACAAAAATATTTCTTTGAAATTAAGCCGCAAATAAATATTTTTGTTGCTTCAAACAAAATTTTTTTCGATCAATAAAAAAATTCATTTGGACTATTCCAAAGAAGTATTTATTTGATTCAACCAAATTGTTCTCTCTGTGTAAGAAGGGAACTCTCGAAATACAAATCAAACTTAAAATAGGCCCTGTAAGACATAAAATTTCTGTATTTATTTATTATTATGACAATTTTTTATATTAATTACACCACTGAGGAGGGTCAACATTGACCGAAACATGTATAGTGGCTTAAATTTTATACACTTTAAATAAATTTTCTCCTACACTGAGGGAAAAATTACTTTAAAATCAACAAATATTTCTTTGATGGGTGCCATTAACATATTTACTTAAATCTAAATTCTCTTTATTTAAGTCAAATATTGTTTACTTAAATAAGGTAAGCAATATTTGATTTAAATAAAGAGAATTTGGATTTAAGTAAATATTATGTTAATGAAAAGAATCCATCCATCAAAGAAATATTTGTTGATTTTAGGTAATTTTTCCCTCAGTGTATCTTTTGGGAATTATCACTAATTAAAATATTAATTTTACCGCACTAGAATAGTGCCTATGTGTGAACTCTTGCAGGCCCTACTTTACGTTTGATTCGTCTGTATTTGTTTAAGACTTTAGGTTGAAAGGA